GCAGCCCCTGGCCAAGCCCAAGGGCGGGCCTGGGGGGCTGGTGACACAGCTCCCAGCGCGGCCCCCACCTGCTCTGTACACCTGCAGTCAGTGCAGTGGCACGGGGCCCAGCTCGCAGCCTGGAGCCTCCCTGGCCCATACCGCCAGCACCTCCCCATTGGCCTCCCAGTCCTCCTACAGCCTCCTGAGCCCACCCGACAGCGCCCGTGACCGCACCGACTACGTCAACTCCGCCTTCACAGAGGACGAGGCCCTGTCCCAGCACTGTCAGCTTGAGAAGCCCCTGAGGCACCCTTCCCTGCCTGAAGCTGCTGTCACCCTGAAACGGCCACCCCCTTACCAGTGGGACCCCATGCTGGGTGAGGACGTTTGGGTTCCTCAAGAAAGGACAGCACAGACTTCAGGGCCCAACCCCTTAAAACTGTCCCCTCTGATGCTGAGTCAGGGCCAGCACCTGGATGTGTCCCGACTGCCCTTCATCTCCCCCAAGTCTCCTGCCAGCCCCACTGCCACTTTCCAAACAGGCTATGGGATGGGAGTGCCATATCCCGGAAGCTATAACAACCCCCCTTTGCCTGGAGTGCAGGCTCCCTGCTCTCCCAAAGATACCCTGTCCCCGACGCAGTTTGCACAACAGGAGCCTGCTGTGGTCCTTCAGCCAGTGTACCCGCCTAGCCTCTCCTATTGCACCCTGCCCCCCATGTACCCAGGAAGCAGCACATGCTCTAGTTTACAGCTGCCACCTGTCGCCTTGCACCCATGGAGTTCCTACAGCGCCTGCCCGCCCGTGCAGAACCCCCAGGGCACTCTCCCCTCAAAGCCACACTTGGTGGTGGAGAAGCCCCTTGTGTCCCCACCACCTGCCGAACTCCAAAGCCACATGGGCACAGAGGTGATGGTAGAAACTGCCGACAGCTTCCAGGAAGTCCTCTCCCTGACCGAAAGCCCAGTCCCCCAGCGGACAGAAAAATTTGGAAAGAAGAACCGGAAGCGCCTGGACAGCCGAGCAGAAGAAGGCAGCGTTCAGGCCATCACTGAGGGCAAAGTGAAGAAGGAGGCTAGGACTTTGAGTGACTTTAATTCCCTTATCTCCAGCCCACACTTGGGGAGAGAGAAGAAGAAAGTGAAGAGTCAGAAAGACCAACTGAAGTCAAAGAAGTTGAATAAGACAAACGAGTTCCAGGACAGCTCCGAGAGTGAGCCTGAGCTGTTCATCAGCGGGGATGAGCTCATGAACCAGAGCCAGGGCAGCAGAAAGGGCTGGAAGAGCAAGCGCGCCCCACGGGCTGCTGGCGAGCTGGAGGAGGCCAAGTGCCGGCGGGCCAGTGAGAAGGAGGACGGGCGGCTGGGTAGCCAAGGCTTTGTGTACGTGATGGCCAACAAGCAGCCGCTGTGGAATGAGGCCACCCAGGTCTACCAGCTGGACTTCGGGGGGCGGGTGACCCAGGAGTCTGCCAAGAACTTCCAGATCGAGTTAGAGGGGCGGCAGGTAAGACCACAGACTGGGTGGCACTGTGGACCCAGAAGGCGAGGGCCTTCAAGGAGCATTTTTCAAAAGGCCAAATGGGAAATGTGGAAAACAACAAATACCTCTTAGGTGGAGCTCACGGGGTTATGATTTTTAGTCTGCCCACTGCCGTCTTGTATTTTTTTTTCTTTTTGAGACAGAGTCTCGCTCTGTCGCCCAGGCTGGAGTGTAGTGGCGCGATCTTGGCTCCCTGCAAGCTCTGCCTCCTGGGTTCACGCCATTCTCCCGCCTCAGCCTCCCGAGTAGCTGGGACCACAGGCACGAGCCACCACACCCGGCTAATTTTTTGTATTTTTAGTAGAGACGGGATTTCACCGTGTTAGCCAGAATGGTCCCTATCTCCTGACCTCGTGATCCGCCCGCCTTGGCCTCCCAAAGTGCTAGGATTACAAGCGTGAGCCACCACGCCCGACCCTAATTTTTTTTTTTTTTTTTTTTAAAGAAATGGGAGTGTCACTATGTTCAGTCCAGGCTGGTCTCAAACTCCTGGGATCCAAGTGATCCTCCTGCCTCAGCCTCTCAAAATGTTGGGATTACAGGCGTGAGCCAACACACCTGGCCTGCATTCATATTTGTAAAGAATATGTTTCTACTTCTATTCATTGACTTTTCTGGTTTTGGCATCAGATGGTGACTTCCTAAGGAACGTAAGGGTTAGTTTTGCTCACGCTGTGCACACAAACACACACACATATGCACACAGTTTTTCCTTCCCCATTAAATCAGTGGTCACTGGTTACCTTGTTATGCTAGTCAATAGGACCCACAGCTGAGCCATGTATTAGAGCTTAGTTACATTTCCTTTTTTGTATACTTTTCTTTCCCTAGACATACCAACTTCCTGTTTTCTGTCTGCTTGTTTGCCTATTTCTCTGTATATGGAAGTCAATACCCAGTTCTCGAACCAGATGTAACCTCATGGTGCAGCTGAACACATTGGGTCCTAGTTCTTTCCTGCTCCAGCCTGGAAGGGTTGCTCTGTCCTGCTGCCAATGTCCCCCTTCACCATCCTGCAAAGTCCCTTCCCCTCTCTACTTAAATTCACATTTTTGTTAATTCATTCAATAAATGTTATTGAGAACCTGCTGTGTGCCTGGCAATCCTCTAAGCCCAGGGGTTGGCAAACTGGCCTTTGGGCCATTCTGGACAGCCGCCTCTTTTTGGAACAAAGTTTTATTGGAGCACAGCCACACTCATTCACCTGAGTGTCGTCCCTGGCTGTTTTTGGCCGGACAACAGCAGAGTTGAGGAGTTGTGGTAAAAACCGTATAACCCACAAAGCCTAAAATATTTATTATCAGCCCCTCACAGAAAGTTTGTCAACCCCTGCTATAGTACTAGAATCAGGGCAGTGAGGAAGACAGACAGAGATCCCGCCGCTGTGGAGCACACAGGTTGAGTACCAGAGGCGATGAGTGCAGCCCATGTGCTAGGGCGTGGTGCCACTGTCTGATGGGATGTGGGCACAGGAACTGGTGAGGAGGTGGCCACCAAGTCCCTCTCTGAGGCAGCGGCGTTGGACAGTGGCAATGCTGCTTCTCTTCTGGAGCCTCTGGCCTGTTGGTGCTTCTTTCTGCTTTTCTTTCTCCTTTCTACTTCCTACGTGAAGAAACCACTTCATTTGATCTATAGCATTCCCCCCATTCTTTTTTTTTTCTTTTTTCTTTTAGATTCAAGGGTACATGTGCTTATTACATGGGCATTACATGCGTAATGAGGGGTGGGCTTCTAGTGTGCCCATCACCCAAACATTGGACGTTGTGCCCCCAGGTAACTTTTCATGGATGGAGCTGGAGGCCATTGTCCCCACATTCCAAACCTTGCTTATTGTCTCCATTGTGTTAACATGTTCCTCAGTCCCCTTGTTTCCTACAAACTTGGAGTTAGATATAGAAGCTTCACCACATTCAGAGTCACTTTTGTTAGCAAAAGCATCTCATAGACAGTGCTGTCTGCTTCCATCAGGAGCTATGCAGACCCAGCTTGTCGCCTTGCTCTCCTTGTTTTTTTGTTTGTTTGTTTGTGTTTTTTTATTTGGTTTTTTTTTTTGAGAGAGAGTCTCCTCTGTCGCCCAGGCTGGAGTGCAGTGGTGCGATCTCAGCTCACTGCAAGCTTTGCCTCCCAGGTTTATGCCATTCTCCTGCCTCAACCTCCCGAGTAGCTGGGAGTACAGGCGCCGGCCACCACGCCCGGCTAATTTTTTGTATTTTTAATAGAGATGGGGTTTCACTGTGTTAGCCAGGATAGTCTCAATCTCCTGACCTCATGATCCGCTCGCCTCAGCCTCTCAAAATGCTGGGATTACAGGCATGAGCTGTCACTCCCGGCCTTTTTGCCTTGTTCTGTAATGTCTTTGCTTCCCCTGCCCTCCTCCAGGTGATGCAATTTGGACGGATTGATGGCAATGCATATATTCTAGACTTCCAGTACCCGTTCTCAGCCGTGCAGGCCTTTGCAGTTGCCCTGGCCAACGTGACTCAGCGCCTCAAATGAAGAGACTGGTGTGGGGAGGAGAGAGATGCAGAGAGCCTTTGGAAGACGTCTTCGGAGATGCCAGAGGAGCCCTCAAGGGGCCGGATACCTGGGAGGACCAGAAGCCAACAGCGAAACTGGAAAAGCCCAGCAGGCCCAGGAGAGGGCGCTGACCTGTGGTCATCATTTATTTGGTTGGGCTTTATTACCTTTTATTGTCTGTTCTTCTTTTCTTCTTTCATTTCAGTGGCATTTGGAAGCAAAGAGTGCTAGGCACCTGCTGTTCTTTCCGGAAACGTAGCTTGGCTGTGGTAATGCTCTACTGGGCCCTTCAGAATGAAGACAGACTGCCTTAGAGCCTGCTATTCTTTCACACATAGGGAGGATGCATTCTCATGCATTCTCCTCCAACATCACCACTAGTGTAAAAGCAAAAAGCTTTTACAAAATTCTGAAGATACAGGTTCTTGGGGAACGGGGTGGGGACAGCATTTGATTTACACTAATTATGTTACTCCCCAAAAGGTGACTTAATTAAAATCGGGCATTTGGGCAGACACACTGTGTTGGACCAACAAAGTAGGATCTTTTCGGGGTGTTCTCACCAGGTAGAAATGTGATTTGCTCATTGAGGATGTTGGGGAAGGGACGAAGGGTGAAGAAGAAACTGCACATATACACAGGTTCACATCACTCTGCAGACAGCGGTGTGACTCAGCGTGTGACTTGTAGCAGCAGTACGAGGGCTACACTCCTGTGCTGACGATGTTTACATTGAAAGCCTCCACTAGTTTCATCGTATGTCAAAGTTCCGTAGGATCAGTGATGATCATTCAGTATGACTGGTTCTGGGAGAAGGTGAGAGACAAAAATGGAAAGATCCTGGCCTGTGGTAGTGGTAGCAGTTTTCTCAAATAATGTGGTAGCCATCACTAGATCCCCACATGCTGAGAAACAGCCTCTACTCTCTCTGCCCTTTTACTTTTTAATCTGGAACACATTACTGTAAACGTGATCTTTCCCGTGAGATATCCTGTTCTACGCCTTCCCATTCTAAAAGTGTGGATGAGGCTTGATTTAAAACCACTTCTTTTCTCCTCTTGGCTACATTAAAATTCAGTTGACTACAAATGCTTTCTATGAAATTATAAATGTTACCAAAAAAATGTTAAGTGTTCACCAGGGTATTAAAATACATGACTATGGTCAAATCTTTGACAAAATTTTCATGATCTTCTTTAAGAAAAAAAGTTGTTTATTAACTGTACAGACTGTTTACTAAGGAGCTAAACCACTGAGAAAACGTTGTTAAAATTATACCTAGGTAGTTGGTTGATCACACTTTGTTAATTGTATTAAAAAAAAACCCTACCTAGAATATCTCTTCCCACTTCCTCCTCCTCATGAGTGGGCAGTGTTCAAGCCCTGAGGACAAAACCCAGTGATTTTTGTTGTTGTTTGTTTTTTTGTTTTTTCAGTTATTCTTACCTGTGATGTTGTTTAGGATCAGGCCCCTCTCCTGGGCCTGCTGTGCAGGAGCCTGCACAGGAACTATCTGCTGGCGTTGGGTTCCAAATTTGGATTTTATTTGGAAACAGACAAGTAGAAGATACTACAGAAAAGTATTTTCAAATTTAAAAGTTTTTTTAATCCCTTGTTTTAGTTAAAAATTACAAAAGAAACCGACCCATTTTTTTCCCAGAATAAGATGACATGACATCACTCCTGATTCTCTCCAAACCCCAAAGAAATACTGACGAGGTTTTCTGATATGGCAAACGACATCTCCCATCTAATACCAGGGTTTCTCATTTATATTTAAAGTATTGGGCCTGATATTTTTAGTGGGTGCATTCTTCCAGAAAGAATTTAGCAATGTTATCAGAATTAATTCTTTTATATGAGTTTCTGTAGCTTGATATGGTGTTTCAGTGCTTATTAGTTGTGCAATAATGGTTATAGCCTGTCAGATAATTTAAATGCAATTCCCCTGTTTTATTGTCTAAGAGATAATTATTTATCTTGCTTTTCATAGTGTTCTTAGGAATTATTTTGTGCTATGTTTTGGTGAGTTATGCCCATTTTATTTATTTAGAAAAACAGTATCTTTGTAATGACTGACTTGGTTGCAGTATATTTTGCTGCAAGAAATAGGATATGACAGAAGGGTTTTTTTTGTTTTTTGTTTTTTTTTTTTTTTGAGACGGAGTCCCACTCTTGTCACCCAACTGGAATATAGTGGCACAATCTCGGCTCACTGCAGCCTCTGACTCCAGGGTTCAAGTGATTATTTTGCCTCAGCCTCCCAAGCAGCTGGGATTACAGGCACCCACCACCACCCTTGGTTAATTTTTTTGTATTTTTAATAGAGATGGGGTTTCGCCATGTTAGCCAGGCTGGTCTTGAACTCCTGACCTCAGGTGATCTGCCCGTCTCGGCCTCCCAAAGTGCTGGGATTACAGGCGTGAGTCTCCACGCCTGGCCGATAGAAGGTTTTTTGCTGGGCAATTTGTAACTTTTCTAATTGAGAAAAAATTCATTTTAATCATTTAAAAATCTTTTTTTAAATTTTGTGTTATTGATTATATACAAAGGAGACTTTTTTTGAGATAACACTCAAATACTATTCTCTCTTCTTTTGAAAATTTTATTTTTATCTGAAAATAAAAGGTGATCTGAAATAAAAAGGGGAGGCCTATTAGAATGAGAGTAGCCAAGGAAAGAATTACTAGGTAATAAGCTTCACTTTCTGTGTTCTAATTGCTTTTGAGATATAAAGACCCTGAAAAAGCCTGTTTGGAACCTGTTTAATAAGAGCAAATATAGGGGAAAATCCTTGAAATGAAAGTTACAAATATATGTGAGAAGAAGAAAATGGATTTTTTTAGCAAATAATTAACTAAGCTTCTAAATTCCTAGCTCACTCCCCAAAAGGCATTTTTCCCTGATGGAGGCACAGGCTTCTGTCTCAGATGTGTGGCGCGCATGAGTTTGTACCGGAGTGACCCCAGCAGCCACTGCTCAACTCCTCTCTCCCAGAGGCCTGAAAAGAGAGGCTGCCCTCCTGCGCCAAGGCAAGCATAAGCTGCGGGCTGTACGCTCCTAGTAGGGTGACTTTTCACTTAATGGTGGTGGTCTTATTTTCAACTACGGTTTCATTCAGTCAGGCTCTGTTGACTAAATACGACGAAAATTTATACTTTATGCAGGAGATTTCTAAAAATTTTATGTTTATTAATAGTTTATGAATATCAAGATACCTCATTGAATTCCCTAAATTTAAAAGCAGTCCAGTAAAAGGTTAACTGTATAAAGAATCTATGACTTTTTGAGGGAAGTATGATATATTAACAAATACAAACAATTCTAAATTTGTTTTAGCTCTAACCTCATCAAACCAAAGGCACAGATTTGTGTACAATATACCCATTGAATGTATATCCCGAGAAAAACTAGGGCCAAAGAAGCCGGAAAATCTCAAAGCTCTAATGGCAGCATAAATCAAAGAATTTTGCAGGCTAATATTTTTTATCCATAGTCATTGCTCCCTTGTCAAGTGTCCCACAAGGACATGGAAGAATGTGTTATGTTCATCCTGTACTCGTAGCAAAAAGTCAGGAAACCCCAGGGTTAAGCCTGCTCTGCCACAAGGTTGGAGGGTGATCTTGGGCAAGTCCCTGGGGCTGGCTAGGCCTCCATTTGTCCATCTGTGAAATGAAAGGGTCAGCTTGGACAACCCTCTAAACTCCCTTACAGCTCTCACAGCCTAAGAGCGCAACACTAAACAGCCTCATCATTCCACTTTTCATGAGAAGTGTATTTCACAACATTGCCTTTGTGGAGAGAAATATTTCTTTTCCTGTGTTAATGAGCTATGTACTGAATATAAACCAGTGCATTTAAAGTAATATCTTTAGAAAATACACCTCTAAATGCATTTGGAATTGTGTTCTCATAGAATACACAAAAGTACTGATTCTAGGTAAGAGGAGTCTCCACGTGTGTGCCCTGCTCAGCTGGGTGTCCCTGAGAACAGGCCTGAAATAAGTCACTACTCGTCCCCAAAACCACAGGAATATATACCTAGGTCACCTCAAATTCCTGAGTGTGCTCTGCCATGTTACACAGTCTTCAAATTCAACAGATTTCTTGAAAAGGAAAGTTTGGCCCAGTAACTGTGGAGAAGGAGTCCATGGTGTCGCTGTGGGCCTATATCATTTGGCCAAGTCAATGGTTGTAAGCAAAGTTAGTGGAGACAAAAATATGTCCAAAATGTCGTTTGAGTTCCTGGGATTTCTGTAACAGCACACAACTCAGAACTCTTCAGCATTTGTGTGATTCCTTACCTCTGGCTGATAAAACTCTGATGGGTTGTGGCTTACTTTGTTTCCATTTTCTTTGGCTTTGTGCAATTTTTGTGTAACTTGTACCTATATTTTCTGTTTACAGTTCTTTTTAAGGGGAGGGGTAGGGTTCTAAGATCTTGTTGTTTATTGTAGATAAACATTTTTTCGTGTTGTAGAAAAGCATGGGTTATGCATTTGACTGAAAAAGGCACTGTATTATTTACCAAAGGGGTATTGTTTTTGCATTTGTTTATAAATGCATTATTTTGGTACTGTAAATTTGGACATAATTTCTGAGTTTATTACTACTGGCATTTTCTTTTTTCCCTTTTTTTTTTTTTTTTTTAACCATAAGTGCGCGATGCAGGTGCATAGGTCCCAGACCAAACTAGACCACCAGCATGTTCATGTCCAGACCTCGGCAGTGGCGTGCACTGCTTGTGCACCTCAGTTCCTCCAGTGTTGGTTTGTTTGTTTTTAAATTCAGCATCCTGCTTTGTTTTACTTTACAAGCAAGATCTGTTGTGATTCCCAAATGCGTTTTAATGAGCTCATCCTTATTTGCCTCTCTTCTTATGTATTTTGTGTATTAGATTGTGCAGGAGATATTCTAGAAGGCATTAATGGTTTGCATTCAAAACGATGTGGTTTGTCCAAGTTATTTTCTGTCTTTATTATTGAGATGGATTAATCTCCTTATTTTTTTCTTGATGATTTGAAGTTGTAAGAGTTGTCCAGCTATTGCTTAATAAAATTTTGCAGATCAAAAAAATTGTGTGCAGAATTCTTAAGCCTCGTGAGGAGAAATCACCTCGCTCCATTGGCATGACCTCCCCACCCTCAGTTGCTTCCTGGGTCTCTTGGTAACTGCCAGCAGCTACTCGAGCCCCTGAGACCGTGGTCATCATGTTGCCCATTTGGGGAAGTCAGAGATTGTGCTGGCTTCTTGATGATCTGGTTTACATT